TGTACTCACACTGTCACTCATAGATGTTTTCGGGGCTAAAAATGACGGGACCTGACTATTTTTGTCGCTTATCCAGGTTCGACTGTATATAAAATAATAATTGGCTTAATCATTTATGACAATGTTAAATGAGGAATAGTTTCTATTTATGCAACTTCTACTTTGAAATGTCATATCTCTTCTAAGATAATTGGCGTCTACCATTAAGTACGATAAATAGAATGATTTAAGTTGGAAGACAGGATGTGAGAGATAATCCGAAAGGCAAACATATAATGAGGGCTGCTAACAAAGTTTAACCAAGATTATAAGTGATGTCCCTTCGTGATGTCCTGATAATAATGGGGCAAATTCCGCATACAAAATGTCACAAGTGACACATTGCCTGTGTTCGGCTACATGAAAACGCATCCGAGTTAACACCAATACAACCAACTAATGTTTGTGTTCTGGCATTCCCAATGAAAATAAATTTGACCCAAATACTCTATAAAAATATTTTAATAAAAAACGATTATTCAAATATTTCCAGGATAATGCGGTGTGTGTAATGCGGAATCAGCTTTATTAATTGACATTTTACCTTTTTCTTTCTGATTTTTGCTGCGCCATGAATCAGTTCAACGTATAAACAACTGCTTTATAAAAATTTTGATGTCAACTATATTTAGTTAAAGTNTATATAGGGTGTCCCAGTTATAATAATTAATATTTATACCACAGATTCCTACGGACATTTGGAACATAAAATGTTATAACACTTTTGACTTTTGAAACAAAATAAAAAATTATAAAATTATAACAGTTTTGATGCCGGCCCTGCACAATCGCAAATTAATTACGATTGCCAGCTGATCGTAGAAAAATTCACCTTCAGTAGGTCGGAATCATGTTATTGTTTATGTTTGGTATTAAATTACGGATCAGCCGAAGAAAATGCACTCGCGTTAAGGTCCATTAGATGACTGAACATGTTAGAAAAACTACGTACCTATCACAATCGAAAATCCCATGATCGTAAACTGAAGTGGACCTAATGTAGCCCATGACGTCGAGCATTATGTTATTTCAAATAGAAAAGAAATTTTAACGACTATGGAATAGTTGGAAGAGGTACACAAACAACCCTCACCACCCAGCGTTTGGTAAAGGTTTGTAACATAACGTACTAGTGTACCAAAACAAATGTATGTGTTATGGTTGTAAACGTTGAGACAAGATGCAGACCTACTTTGACCATTCACATGTGTTTAAACGTTAGTTTTGCCTGGCAGGGCTAATTAACCCCACGTGGAGTAATACAAGGATGTGTCCAGAAGGACCAAGTCGTCTAGATCCAGGCCCGTAATGAAACTAATTGTACGTTCAAATTTACAAAGACGATTTGCGAGTTCAATTGTCATTGGATTGAAAAATTGTATATCACTTTTTTGTTGTATTCTGTGTGTACTTATTGAACCGCCCTCGTATTTAGTTAATGTTGTGCCATTTTATTTGGAATGGGAAAAAATGCGCGTTCTTTTGTATGGATGTGTGCTCGTTGAAAACTAAATAATGGAAAATTTTAAAAAGTTTTCAAAATGTTTAATACATTACTTTCACATGTTGTGAACTGTATAGGTACCGGTATTGGAAGAAATAACAACTTTTAAATTACTTTTTAAACTTGGCGTTCGCGAACGGTAAGCTGACAGAATTTACTTTGCTCCTGAAAAAGGACCATCATAAATATCGCCAAAAATACTTTCTCGTTACCATTCAAGTGTGGTAAATTCTGATAAAATCGGTCGACTAGAAGGCGAGATATTTCACGTTTTATTAATGATGTTGGATGTTCTACCTCTTAAGACTTTAAATATGAAATTCAGTTCATCAATTTAGACATAAGACACCTCAACATGGTCAATTAGAGTGACGCATGTATTTTTCCTTTCTGATTTACTTATTAAGATGTAGGATTGGAAGTGATTTCTGTGCTTGTAAACGGTTAGGTTAGAAATCTGAAAAATTTTGTTGAAGGTATATCTCCGAAGCGCGGCGCTGTACGGGTGCGAAACATAGACGGTAGGCGCTGCGAAAAAAAAAGGTTAGAAGCGTTCGAAATGTGGTGTTACATGCGAATGATAAGGATACTATGGGTAGAGAATATTACGAATGAGGAGGTTATACGGACGGTAGGATGGAAATCAATGAAATGTAGGCTAGATCAATAGGAAGGTCAATTTCTCAGACATGAAGGGCTAGTTAGAAACACATTAGAATCGGAAATAGCAGTTAAGAAGGATAAAGGTCAACCTGGATCAGATTACTGTTCACAAATAGTTAAGGATGTGGGATGTTTAGGGAAATGCAAAGATTTTCTCAAGATAGGAAACCCTGATGGTAGATAGAAAATATTACAAATGAGGAAGCATTAGAAAGAGTAGGAGAACAGAGGGTGTCATGCAAGTCAGTAATAAGGATATGAAATGTTTCAGCTTTAGAGAAATACTACAATTAGCTCAGGATAGGAGAAACCAGTCTTAGAACCGACGACCCTATAATGATGATGCAACATGTTGACTGATAGTGTTTTTGACTTTCCCAACCACTTAAAAAAAGAGAAATTTATTAAACATTCCTACATCTAGGATAAAAATGCGAAAAAGGGGAATTGGTGTACATCTTTTAAATATATAATACGTTAAAAATATTCATGAGATGTTGATCAACTTTTATGGAGGTCCATCATATTATTACGCGAAGTATGAAGCGATATGGGTCCTCTGAAAGAGTATGGCGGCAGCAAAGTTTTAAAAATAAACCCTCACCTTAACTGCTTTTTTATATGAAGAACGTGAATACTATGGAAACATAAAATTATATTTATTACACTTACGGCGCATTTGCGGAATTCGCAACTGCTTCGTGTTTCTTCGTTACTACGTATTATTAGTTTCTTATTTTCTTCTAATCTTCAAAATATTGGTATTAGGCCTACGTTCTATATCGCCTGGTCGTAACGTAGAATGTGCTATATTGAATGTTACTTATTGTTGTTTATTTTTCTATTTAATCGGTGTACGAATAGGTAGTTTAAACACATATACAACTATGTGATTCTCTCTTTATCCTTGAAGATAATTGTCTTTATAGCAGATCGTCTCCAGCTTGCACAAGTATTGACTTTCCCCAATGGGCAAAATGTAGAAGGAGACAAATATTTACAAATCCTACGTAAAATAAATATTTCAAACTGGTACGCGGCGCAGTTTCGAGGAGAATATTGAAGGAGTTTCGACGAAAAAGGGGTTGATGTTTTATTTAATTATGCGTGTATACCTAACCGTTCAAACTTGATTTTGTAAACATAAAAGATAGGTAGGTAATTCATTTACTTAAATCAGAGGGATCGGCTACGTATATGGGTGTCCCAGTTATAATAATTAATATATATACCACGGATTCCTACGGACATTTGTAGCATAAAATGTTATAACACTTTTGACTTTTGAAACAAAATAAAAAATTATAAAATTATAACAGTTTTGATGCCGGCCCTGCACAATCGCAAATTAATTACGATTGCCAGCTGATCGTAGANAGGAGATCGGGCTGAAACTATAGCTACAAGCTATCCAAGGATGGTACTATAGAATGTCACCTCAAGGTAGGCCTAGTGGCGTCATCTCTTGGTTAGGCCGGAAACTTATCAATCCACCCTCGTATATCGCGAATCAATCTTGTAACACGGAAAAATACAGTGGGAGAGACCCTAAATATCAGCAATTTCAAGGTTATTATAGTAAGCAAACGGATGAGGCTTACAATATAATTACAAGGAATTTTAGTGATGTAGGGTACTGTAGTAATAATATAAGAAACGAGGGAGGTCATTTTGATAGAAAATGAGGAAAAGGCAGACAGATGGAAAGAATACGTAGGCCATGAGTTAGGAGATATATTAGAAAAGGAAGATAGTGTGGAAATAGATGAACTAGAGAGAGAGAGAGAGAGAGAGAGAGGGAAGAGTTCAATGTAGCATTAAAACACTTAAAATAAAATAAAGCACCAAGTATGGATGGGATACGGGCGAAAATTTTAAAACATGCAGGACAAGAGGTTAGAGATTCAATGTTAGTCACATTTACTAGACAGGGAAAGTCCAGGAGGATTATAAACCGAACGTGGTAGCAACCATTCCTAAAAAGAGAAGCGCGGATAGGTGCGAAACATTTAGAACAATTAGCGTAACTTCCCATAAAAGGCGGAAGAACTATTGGGGGAAGATCAATTTGGGTTTAGAAGAAATAGAGGAACGTGGGAGGTCATTCTAGCTTTACGGTTAACAATAGAGAAAACGATAGAAAAAGGTAAGAGTACGTACATAGGATTTGTCGCCGCTACTTTTTAATGAATACGTACAATGGACATGTCTACGGATCAGTTGTTTGCGAAGGTCACGAATAGGTGTCTGTGTTTCGTCGAAAGCCGATAAGAAAACGAGGTAACTGTTCTCAATCATTGACAGCTCGTTAACTAGGGTACTTTTTGTGTATACTTTTTACATCCCTTACGTTTGTGGTACCATGATGAAAAGCACTCTACAGTGCCTCCAGATCTTACCCTTCAAATATTCCGGAATACCGGTCAGACATAGTCTATACTTGGTGAAAAAAGTAATGTCAATATATGGAAGACTAATTCTCGCATATGAATTTTCGTTCCAAAATTTTTATTTAACCACCGGTTATTTTGTATATTAATCAATTGGCAGTCTTGCCAACAAAGCTACGTGGTTGTAACTTCGTAGAAGTATCCGAGACGGTACAAAACCCGTTACGTTGGTTGTTTTCCGCATAATCTATTCATACGAAGAGGATTTGCCAACCTGAGCACATCCGGCAGTGCTAAATAGTCCTTGAGACACTAACCTTTTTCTACTAATTAATTCAATAGCAAATGAAATACAACAAGTCCGCCAATTGTCGTAAAACAAAAGGATAAGGTACAGGACTTACCTGTAAATTGGTATGCCTGATCCGTGTTGAAACCAGAATACCATATAGACTTTGTCATGGCCTGGAGGAGTCACATTGCAAGATAAACTAACACTCTTTCCTTCTACGACTTCTACGTCATGAATTTTCTCTGAAATTAACAAAAAAAGTGATTAAATATCATCAAAATTGCTATAGAAACATAGCAGTAATCTAATTCGAAAATAATTACATCATTATAAACCTAAAGAAAAACTTTTAGGCATTTTATTTCCACTAGCTACTAGTGCAAAACTGGAAGATAGGGGAAAGGATCTTTTGTGGCTCCCTTTTAAAAATGGGAATGGGTGAGTGGTTATTGAGAAGAAAGGGATGAGACAAACGAAATAAAGCCAGAAAGGAAGTGAATGAATAAACTACAGAAAATTTTGGTCTGTAAACGAACCTGAAACTGGATTGGTTCCCGGAAACAAAAATACTATGTTCGAAATTAAAATCAGAATTATAATTATTTCTTCCATATCTCTTTGAATTAATTGAACAGATAATAAGAAAAATTGCAATTATGGTAAATTATGATGTTAATGGACTGAAAATCCTTAACCAAAATCCTGCAATCCTAAGTTAATAATATTAGGATTGAAACAGATCTACCTTTCTTTAAGGATATAAAATGTTTGCAATATAGGTATGTGTAAGCACCTATCCGTTAGATAATCTCATTCTAAACGTCCCAAAAACTACAGCTATTAGAACACACATTACCACATACATATATTACAATGTTGGAATTCAAATCGTGAACTCTCTTTTCATACATATCAAAAAAAGGTTGGTATGACCTGATTGCCATCCGTGTCCGTGTATCATCTCTACTCGGAATTTAAGTGGCTTCATCCCACCGACAGATCAAAGGTCTGCTTTCTTTGATGCATAATATAAAAAGTCGGTAAAAGTATCAGCATTGCCACACTGTTGGCATATCAAGCCCTCTATTCTTTCGTTCGTTTACAGAGAGCGGCAGAGCTAACGACTATTTGTAGACTAGGCACGCGTTATCCAAATCCAATCTCTTTCGGAAAAGCGTAACGCAAACGGAACCGCACATTTTAAAAGAGGGTCTCTTTATGGAACCTCGACACACCTAACAATTTACAGTTACATAGGTACGTATCTACGTATGGACGAATGTATATATGCATATGTTTGACCCTGTTGCAATCTCGGCCCTCTGTAGTCGAAAATTAGTGGAAATGTTGAACGTGTTAGGTAGATACTACTGAATGCAAACCACAAATAAAACAGACAGTGAATACACTTTGGAAATAGTTTTAGGAACAATTTTTACAATTCCTTTGCCAGTTCCTAACGACTCTAATTATCTAAAATTTGTGAAGAAACTTGACACCCTTTTTCTGAACAAACAATAGGTACTATGGGGTGGTTTCCAATAGGGTTAAATATTTTTTTACATCTTGGAAATTTCGAAAAAATTTCCTATCAAAAACTTAATCATCATCATCATAAGGTCGTCAGTCCTAAAACTGGTTGGACACGCACCTCCACTCTTTCATATCCTGAGCTAATCTTCGCATTTCCCTAAAACTAGAACAGCCTACATCCTTAACTATTTGCGAACAGTAATCCAGTGTAGGTCTACCTCTACCCCTCCTAACTCCTATTTCTGCCTCTAATATGTCTCTGACTAGACCTTCATGCCTGAGAAGGTTTCCTACCAACCTATCTCGCCTATTTTTTATTGACTTCCATAGAGTCCTCTGTTCTCCTATTCTTTCTAATACCTCTTCATTTCTAGCCTTCTTTATCCACGCTATCCTCATCATCCGCCTATAACACCACATTTTGAAGGCTTCTAACCTTTTCTTTTCCGCCACGCCCACTGTCCATGTTTCGCACCCGTACAACGCCGCGCTCCAAACATACAC